CTGTAAAGCACTAACTCAGGGAGCACCCACGGCAGATGTCTCACAGCAACCCCTGACCCACACAAGCACCTGCTCTGCATGCAGGACCTTTCGTGCCACCATCTCTCCTGCACCCATCCTACAAGCAGGAATGGGGACCAGCCTCCTCATGGGCATATGAAGGCTCTGCAGAGCAAAGGAATTAAACATCCATCTCCAGGCCCCAGGCTTGTCCTTTTACCACAGCAGGCATCCAACACAAGGCTTTCCCAGGTCACCCCTCCATCTTCACTCTCTGACAGCTCCTTCGTATTCAGAGGCATTTCTCTGCTAGGACATCACTACTTCCTCCCCAGACTCCAAGCAGTGGGGCAAGAGAACTGAAGGTTCCCCATCCAGTTACCAGAAACCAGTCTGTCACTCCATACCCTCAAGGGATATAATCCAAGCTCAGCAGCTGGGAAAGAATTATTCCTCACTGGTAGCAGATGCCCAAATAGTTACAGAGGACACACAGGATGGAAACAGCTGGGTTGGGCTGCAAACTGAAACACACTCCCTGAGCCAGCACAGTACTCTCACTTTCAACTCTCATTTCTCTTCCCCAGAAGCAGCTTCTGGTTTGCAGTGACTCCAGAAACTGTTACAGCTTCTCTGACACCTCCCACTTCTAAACTCAGGACTCGTCAGAGACTTGTTTCAGGATTCCTAGGGTTTCTTGAGGATTCAAGCAAAACTACTCCCTGTTCAGAACAGATACTGTCCACCTGTCCAACTGGTAAATCAGAACAAATCACAGCCCTTCACAATAACATAGACATCATACTAGTTAAGATTTCTAGGTTTCAGGACTGAAAGACTATAAATAGATATTATGGTACTAATTAGGACACCATGATAAACACCTGATCTAGAAGCCCAGGAAACAGCAGTGATCATTACTGTGCCCAATCCAGGTAGAATTTTAGAACATTTGGTTTTTTTCCTATTTGTTAGAGATATTAGAAAAAAAAAGAAAAAAAAAAAAAAGTTGGATCACTTAAATACAAGGCAGTGATGACCATCAGCTACCCAGACTTCTGCCTGACAGACATTACATTTCTGATCAGGCCTCACCCAAATGCAAACACATCTTGATGCTTGCAGACACCCAGTGGGAGGAAATGCCCTCAGCCACTGAAGTCTCTCAGCTCTGGTGAGAGGCCTGAGCTGCTGCTTTCACAGTTCCACCCTTTGCAGTTTTAGCATCAGCTCCGGATGACTCGGTGTCACTTCTGCATTCTAACAAAAGAATCTGCCAGTGCAAGCAACTGTGTACAACTTCTGACTGCTTGTGAAATATGTATTTGTTGTCAAAGACAGATTAATCCAGGGGTTTTCCACATAGCCAGGCTCTTGGAAGAGCAAGGAGCCCTTCCACAAGGGCTCACATGTCAGAGTTTTCTGCTAATTGTCAGCTACCTTTTAAAAACCTTCTCCCCTTACTGATCACCTCCCTGCTGTCATTCAAGCGACAGCCCACAAACAAGACTTCAGAAGTAATTACATCTGCCACTACCTAAAACCCATTACTCTTTACAGAGCAGGCTTTCTAATTAAAGCTGTTTAGGTGCTCTCCAGAGAGCACTAAAAGATCATGGTGTTTTCTGGCAGTTTATACAGAGCCCTCAGTTCCAGAGGGCCTTGTTTTGACACCCGGAATTAGCCACCAGGGGATCTGGCCAGCAGATATCAGCAGCATTAGCTGCTGGAACTACATTTTAGTCATATTCAGCACAAGCAGCTTAAGTTTCCTTTTAATCAGGATACTAAAAGGACATCTGAAAGTGCACTGCAAGCATGCAGCACTACAGAGCACATGTGAAGCTTGGATTTTGCAGCCTTTGTGGTAGTTTGCTGTCACCACTCTGACACTGAGCTGAACAGACCTGAAGTGGTCTGGTAACACACAACCACGAAAATTAAAGCACTGCTTACTTATGCTATGGAAAACGCTTCCCCAAATTTGTTACTTCAAACTGAAGAACTCCAGTGATGCAAAGGCTGAATTATTTTGCTTAAAATACCGACAAAGAGGGAATAACAGCTCAGTGTAGTCACACTGAAATGGCATTCCTCAGCAAGTGCAGTGCTTGCCAAGGAAGCAGAAGACCCAGAGCATCTGTTGCCTCAGGCTGTGCAATAAAGTGGCCCTCTCCTACCAGAGGGATCTCTGCATCACTCTCTGCAGGAACTTGCAGGTCACACACCTCCTGATAGAGGAAAGGAGTCTACAAACATTCAAGGATGCCACATTCCGAGCAAAAGCCTTGCTGGCTCACCCTGTTCCTCCAGCAGCATGCAGGACACCTCCAGCCAAGCCATGGCTTCCTCAGTTGAGGGGTCAAGCACAGCTTTGGCCGTGCAGGGCAAGCCCCCTGTGTGCCTGCACAGCACAGCCTGGGGCTGAGCACTGCTGGCCCAGCACAAATGGAAATGGTGGTGCAACAGCAGCAAACCCCAAGCCACAGTCAGCATTCCCCAAGAACGCTTTGCTGACCTCCTACAGTGAGGCCAGAGCTGGTGGCAGGGAGTGTCAGGAACAGGGCAGCCTCACCGTGCTGGCTTCACCTTCCGCTAGCCCAAACTGCCGGGCCAGCTCCGTGGAGGCTGCGTGTCCTTGAGAGGGCATTATCCCTGTCCAGGAGCTGGCACCTTGCTAGCAGCTCACCTCCCTGATTCATTTCAGGCTCAGCAGCAAGCAGAAGCAGGTTTTTTGCTAAGCACAAGATCCAGTATGGTCTCATTCCTTCCAGAATGTGCAGCAGGATTTGTCCAGCAGAGGCACCACTTGTGAGTGATAAGAGCAAGTCCCAGGCCATGACACAACATTTTGTCTTCCACTGATTGCTGTGTGAAAGAGGTGCTACAATACATGCTCTTAGCATTTTCATCTAGAACATTTCAACTGCAGACTGAAGCCTTCAAATACCATGAAGCCAGTGACATTAGGAAATACCAAGGTATTTACTCAAGCTTAGCTTGGAAGTCCCACCACTCACTTCAAATTCTGAAGTGCCTTTTCCTCTCCCATGACAGATTACACCTTATTTTCCACTGCACTTTCAATCACCTTTATCCTACCCTCCCTTCCTCTTCCTACATATCCTGATCCTCTCCTGCTTTGCCACCTCAGGGTCAGTTTTTAGTTTGTACTTAACAGTGGCTCCTATTTAAGTTAATTCCTAATGAAGTTTCCTTTACAGGCATGAGTTTTATCTACTGCTCACACCCCAGTTCCATATTGCTGTTTCTTTGCCTAAACAGGAACAGACAAGATAGGAGCACTTCTATCCTCCCCCGTGCTGCTGGAATCCCAAGACAGCCCTACAACCTAAAACAAGCTAATCTTTGTCCATTGAGCATCAGAGTTTAAAGCTACTCCAGCCCCCACCAAGAGAACATTTTCCCCTCCCCCCAGTATTCCTGTGTGAGTTAGAAAGGCACATAAACACTCAATAGTTACCAAATGTTGCAAGAGAGTTGATATTTGACCTTCCCCTCCAGTATTCTCCAAGGGCAGACACTTTAATACAAAGAGTTTCACATGCAGCAGAAAAGAAAGCACTGGCCAGCTCACAGCAAGCTACTAGAAAATGCTTCTTCTACAAACTCTTGCCTGTCTTACTGACTCAGGACTGTTTCAAAACAAGATTCATATGGGAAAGAAGCAGAGAAAAGGAAATTATCCAGAAGTCAATAAAGGCTGGTGTATTTCTAGCCCCCAAGTCAGTTAATATACATGCTCCAAAAAGCTGGAGAAAACACAGACTGAAGAGATTTCCAGCTCACCTAACAGCTTAAAGCAAAGTCATCTTCCTGCCAGTGAAGCTTAGTCACAATGCAAAACCACATGCAGATGTGACAATATGAAAGGCAAATAGGCAACTTGCTGACTCTTACAGGGCTGCCTTGCCTTCTTCTCAAGGTGTGTTGAGGGTAGTTATTAAACCAGGGAGTTTAGGTAGGTTAACCCAAGCAGCTCGTCCAGCTGAAGAGACAATTCCAATCATTGTCTACGCTACATAAACATTAATTCACAAAGTTCCTGCTTCAGCATTTCACTTGCATTTCCTCTGAGAAGTTGAGAGTCTTAACATTAGGAAATCCCCTGTGCTGCTTTAAAGGGAAGACATGAAGCTCCTTGGCACCTACAGCTTCAACACTTCTCCGGAGAAAGGAAGACCAAGCGAGCTGCTGATGTGACAACCAAGGCAAAGGGGCACCGCAGGTGAAGTGACAGCAGGCAGCCTAATTACCGCAGAGCACACAGCCAGGAAGGCCGCTCACAGACACAGCAGGGCAGCTGGCCCACCGGCGAAGAGCAAGTTTAACCCCCTGCAGCACTCGGCCCGCAGCGCCCGGGGCCAGGTCCTGCTCCTGCATCCATCACCTGCCAGGCCCAGCTCCCCGGTTATCACCTGCTCCCGCCTCGGCACGGAGCGCAGCCCGCACCGCCTCACGGCGGCTGCACAGCCCTGCCCTTCCCTCCTCTTCCTCCTTCCCTCTCCGGCTTTAATGCTCCCACCCGCTCCTCTTTCCCCGGGCACCTCTCCCCTCAGGGCTGCTCCCCACGCTCGCCCCGGCCACTCCGACCCCCTGCCCTCAGGGGACCTCGGCGCGCCAAAGGCAGGAGGACTAAGGCGACTTATCTTCTTTTAAGAAAAGTCCTAAACGGAGCAAAAGCCGAAAACCTGTCACCGTCCCAGCGCTGCCGGGGGCAGAGGGAGCGGGGAGCTCCCTCTCACGCCGCGGGGCCAGCTCGGCTGCGCCCTCACGGCCCGCCCCAGCCAGACTCGGGCCGCCAGCCTCACCTTGTCCTGCGCGTCCCCACGGAGCAGAGCCATATCTCCAGGCGCAGACAACCACCCTACACCTTTCTCTTTCTGCTCCTCCCCGCCACCTCCTCCTCATATAACCCGGGCGGAGCCTCCGCCGCCACACCCCTTGAGGGGCACTCGCCATCTTTGGTGAGGGCAGGGCGCTTCTTGCCTTCATCCAAGACGGCACCACAACGCTTTAGTTTTTCGGCTTGCATTTAAAGATTTGGGCTGTTTTCCTTACAGCCTTTCAAAAAATACCAAAAGAGCGCGACATAGAGCAGGTATACCCCCCTCTCTACCTTTCGGGGCGCTTCAACGAAGGGGAAAGGGCTGGGGGCTGGCGGTGCGGAGAACTACAAGTCCCATGAGGCAGCGGGGGGCGCATGGGCGATGAGCTCGGCAGAGGCGGCGGGCGGGGCGCGCCTGCGCGGTGACGCCCGCGGTGGTGGCGGGAAGCGCGGCTGAGGTAACGCGGAGCCGCGGGTCGTGAGGGCCGCGGGCCGGGCGGGCCTGGGGGCGAGGGAGGGACAAGGGAGGGACAAGGGAGGGGAGAGAAGAAAGGTGCCGCTCTTCCCGGGGCCCACAGTGCCCCCGGGTCCGTCAGCGAGCGTGGCCGGGCTGCCGTGGCCGGGCATGCCCGCGTCCGGCGGGGCTCCTTGTCCAGAGTGGGTTTTCCCCCTCTGCACAAGGGCGGGCTGTGCGGCACTGGGGTTTTCGGGCACACGCAGAAAGTTTCTTTGCCCGAGGGCACTTGGTGGTCACTGGTGTTGGCCCAGCTCTTTCACAAATCGCCAAAAGCGCTGACTTCGTGTTACAGCCCTATTTCCCACTAATTCCCTTCCCAGTGCTGATCTGGGAATGGAGCTTGAACTGGGAACTGAGGCCTGTTGAAGCTACCCTGAAGTAAAGCTCACAAGTGTGGGCTTGTGCTTTAAACGGGGTTGCTGAGTTGTCTCTCTTTGTGCTCTAAACATCCCAAAAGAGGGAGGCGTATTTTAACCCGGATAGGTTCAATAATGTATTTTGAAAACTGCAGGGAACTCACAGTTATACCTTCCTCAGTGGATTTGTTCTGCTCAAATTAGGGACAAGGGGCAACAGGTCTGTAGGTGTGTTTAGGAGTGCTCTTTTTTGTTATCTCTGAAATAAGCCAGTGTTTTGGGTTTTTTTAGCTGGATAGGTTTCTGTGGAGAAAAAGCCATACTGGTTATTATGCAAAAACACAGCTGGAGGTAGGTTTTTATAGATGTGAACTTTTCCTTAAGTAAGCCTTTCTATTTCCTTCAGTTAAGACACTCATTCCTATACTGGAAAAAAAATTCCTCAGTTGTGTTAGCTGAGTTATTGTTGGAGCTGCAAAGTCAACTTGCTTGGGTAAAGTCCTCTTGAGTTTTTTTTTAGCTCCAAGTTATTTTAATTTTTTTTCCGTTCTCCATTGTGGCTCATCATGCAACACTTGAAGGAATTCTGCCAGTCTTCAACCACAAATGCTTTCAGAGAGAAGGCAGGCACTTCCCCAGAGGGAAATCTCAATTAAATTCTGTTCTTTGTGTACAAGAGTAGATCCTGACCACTCCATTTCTTCCTTGTAAGTTATCTGCACAGAAATGCCACTTTAGTGATTTATTGAAGAACACAGGATTCTTTATTCAGCAGGGCACAAGGGTTCCTTATTTCTTAGCAATCCTAGAGCCTCTTTCCTTTTGTAAAACAGGACAGCAGCTGGAAAACTCTTCCTTTCCTCATGGTTCTGTTCATACACTGCACAAACATTTCCACAAGTACTGGAAATTCCACAGGTATATTCCCCAGCACAACAAAGGCTGTTAAATCAAAATTCCTGCTAGTCACTGAAGCACTGTGTTGCACTAAATTTAACTGTGGAGCTCGTACTATTCCATATCTCAATAGCTCAGTGATTCAAAACACTGATCTGGTATAAGTTTATTCCTTGGAAGGTGTTGAGGGAGCAGCTTACTACAAGTGAGTTTATGCTGAATCAGGCATCCTCTTGCTACCTCCAGTGGCACAACGCCAGAATAAACTTTTTCTTTTGTGCCCAGCATTCAGTGGCCCAGCATTTGCTCTGTTCTGATTAGTGCATGTCCACAGTGACCGTTAATGAGCCTGTCAATAATCACCAAACAGCAGCCTGGGAATCCACGAGCTTGGATACTGTCACACAGGAATAAGAATATATTTCTCCTCCTTTATTTGAAATCCCAGCTCTGGCACCTCTAGTTAGAGGTGAGCCCCAAGAGGGAAGGGATCCATTTTTCTGCACCGATGAAGGACGGTATTTATGGATCCCGAGTCCAAGGTCTCAGCCTGCTGCTGCCAGGTGCCTTGTTCTAATCAGCTGCCCCACTTTTGGAAACTCTTGTGTGACAGATGCTCACCCACCCCCACACTGGGCCACTGCAGCCGTGGGATCTGTGCACACAAAGTAACTCGCCATGGTTTTGTTTCCCGGGGAGCCCAGGGCAGTGTGGGAAGCGCTGTGTGAGGAGCGTGGGGAAGGAGGAGAGCAGCTGGAGGGATTGTCAGGAACAGAACGCTGCTGTTGGCTGGCAGTGAGCAGGGGTTCTGTCTTTGCAGTGGTGGAGGGAACTCTGGAATGGCAAACAGGTTACTCCAGTAGGAGACCAGGGCCTCAGTTCTTCCTGGGAAATGCCGCTGTGGAAGTGTTACATTTTATCCGTGTGCAAAAAACTTCCTAGGGCTTCCAGGGCAGCTCTGGAAGGTGTGCTGGGCACGGCATTGCTTGTATGCTGTTCTTGCTTTTAAATTTCCTAAGTGGCTTTAAGCACAACTATGATTGAAACTTGGTTTGGAAAAATAAGTTTATATTTTATTCTGGACTTCAAAAAAAATTCTTTTAATCTGAAAATATTTGCAGTGCATCTTTGCCTTTTCTAGCTTCAAGTCTCACAATTGTATATACTGCTGCTGTCTGTTTTCTCCTAGTGATACAAAAGAAAATTGTGGGTTTATACCCTGTAAGGTGCCCCACAATCCCCTTAAGTTGGTCATTCTCTATAAACTTAAGAGTTTTAATACCTCACAGCAGTGGATTGGCTTCAATGTCCTCTGTGTAGCTTTAATTTCCCCCTCCCCCTTTTGGCGATTGTGGCAGGTCTGGTTTTTGTGCCTACTTCCATGGCAGTTCTGATACTGTTGCTGTAGGGATGTCCTGCGATGCAACTTGAGCTACTTGCAACAAATCTTCAAGTGTTTCAGATTTCAGGTTTGGCAGGCTTCTTTTTCAGGAGCATTTCCTCTTTTCCTTGCTCATTGTTTTTTTATCTTATTTATCTGAAGAATAAAGGTGATAGAAGGTAAATGAAGACACTTTGGTCATAGCAGTTCTTTGTTTGGCAAAGGGCAAACAAAGAATAGGATGGCAAAAAAAATAAATAGGATGGTGACAGAGTTTTATGACTCTGTAAAACACAAATTTCTTTTTCCACAGGAGGAAAAAAATATGGTAACCCACAGACTGTTGTTGACAGAAGGAAGAAAACTCTAACTGCTCACAAACACTTCTTGTCAGGATGCAGTTCCTACAGATCCTGTCCAGGAAGCCAGGGAGCCTGGAAGTGCTTTTGCAAATACCATTTTGTCAAAAGCAATTCCCATACACGTGTCTGTCTACCTCTGCATGTGTTTATAGCAAAAAGAAAAAAGGAAACAGTTATGATCAAGTTGACCAAGAAAAATACAAGAACTTGGTCCACTCTGTTACATCTTACAAAACCAGTGCCCAAACACCAGAGACAATACTTGAGGAAGACAATTTGTTATATGGGCCACCAGCTAAACACACACCTCCAGTTAAAGCTGGGACAAGAACTCCCAAGAACTGGGTTCCTTTAATAAACCCCAGCAAGAGAATTCTTCCTGTCAGCAGTGATTCAAACGTGCCCATGAAAATCGGGTTGCAAAGAACAAAGATGCCCAGTGTTACCCGCATCCTTCAACAAACCCTCTCTCCTCAGCAAATTTTCTATCTGGAAAGATGGAAGCAGAAAATGATAGAGGAGCTTGGAAAAGAGGGATTCGAAGAGTACACCAAAAGTAAGTCTAGCCACAGTGTGATTGCAGAGTAGAAGCAGTAGTTTGGATTGCTGGCAGGTATGATGGGCCAAGTGGTTTGGAAATCCAGGAAGTTGTTTCCATTTCATGGGAGCGTGTTGTGAGTGTACCTGTTACCAACGAGCCTAAGCTCTGGTCTTTGTTCTGGGACCACTAAAATGGATTTAGAAATTTGTGGGAAATGGGAGTCAGACTGCAGGCATGCTTTGCTCAATCCTGTCTGACTTTCCTTTAGTTCTTGATTTGCCAGTATCTAATTAGAAAGAGGTATTTTCCAGATGATGTTACTGAGCCTCTTTGCAGTTACAAAGCTACTTTGTAACAAGATGGAAATAGGCATTTTGAACTCATACAGTTTAAAAACCAATGTGTCCTGCTGTTTATGGTGAGGTTTTTCAGTAACTGTTTGGTTTATCCAGTGTATGTATGAGTAATCACTGAGACTAAAAAAGTAAAGGAAGCATTAAAAATCTAAAGTAATGTCTAAAATATGAGGGGGTTTTCCCATTTTTCTTAGATCTTTTTCTTCAAGGAGAGCTCTTCCATTCAGCTTTGGAATCGATATTCCTGTCTGAAGAGACAGCAGCTAGGGACCAGGGTGAAGCTGATGTCGTGGCTGGCTACTTATCCAGTGTGGAACATGTTTTGGAAGACATCAGCGAGGTGAAGGCTCTGGAAAGTGGAGTTCACCACGAGACCCTGCAGTACCTGGGCCTGGTCGACTGCGTGGCCAAGTATCGGTGAGGTGCCCTTCCCTAAAACTCCTGTCATGTGATGCCGTGGGGGCCAGGGTGTGATTGAGTGGCTGGGGGAAGCTGGACAGATCTCTAGAACAGGCTGGAGGAACTGCCCTGGATGATCCTCATGGCAGAAGTGCTGTTTTTCCTGGTGGGGAGCTCCCTTCTGGAGAAGGGACGGGTTTAAGGAATCGTCAGCATTTCCAGGAACTGTGGCAGGTTTGTGTAAGCTAGTTCTAGTTTGGTTTTTGGGATCTAAACTGCCAGTGTGAAAGAGACTTGTTTAGTCATAATAATGAGCAATGTGACATCAGGGGGAAACAGGCTGAGAGTGAAAAATCTGTATGTGCTATCTTCCTTATTTCTTACTTGAGACTAAACTTAAGTTTAAACCATTGTCCTGTCTTGTTCTCCTGTGCAGGGGCCGACTGTGTGTGATCGACTGGAAAACTTCAGAGAAGCCAAAGCCATTTCTGCAGAATACTTATGACAACCCGTTACAGGTTGCAGCATATATTGGAGCCATAAATCATGATGCCAATTATGACTTCCAGGTCAGTACGCTTGCTGCATGCCAAGACAAGCAGCAATGCCTGTGTGATCTTCATTTCTTCCTGCCTTTAGAACCTGCTGCTCATCATGGAAGTGTTGGTAGGATTTGTAATGAAGGAGCCCAGTCTGAGATCTGGTTAAGATGTCATACTGTGAAATAATTCCACTACTCCTGCTAATCCTGCTGCCCTTGGCTGCCAGTAGTGAATTTTCAGTGGTTTTAAGGAAGTGCTTAGTGGGACCAAGTGATGCTCAGATGAACTCCCAGGTACTTGGCATGTGGGCAATCCCCTGTGCTCTGTCCTGTGTGGTTTTTGCTTGTGTCAAGAGTAGGAAGGGACAGGAGAGGAAATAAAGCAAAAGAACCTGCAAACAAGAAAATGGTATGGGAGGGTCTTGCCTGCATCCTGTCTTGCTGTGTCCCACTAGCAAATGAGGGACTGAGTGATGCACTTGGTGTCTGGAAGCTGTACTGTGTTTTCTCAGGGAAGAGCTGTGTTGGGAATCACTTCATCAGAAGACTGTGGCATAATGTTTTTAAAGACTCCAAAAGTAATTCTAGCCTGCCTGCTTAGCCTGAAGGATTTTTACCTCAGTACAGATATTGAAGGGGGAAAATAAGAAGCAGAAGAGAGCAGAGTAATTTGTATGCTGTGCATAGGACTTTCTAGGATACTGCAGAGGTCAGTGAGCACCAGCACTCCACAGACATGATCCTGACAGAGTGAAATATGGGCTGGAATTCTGCTAGTAGCTTCCTGCCGCCCCCACTGCCAGTGGCTGTTTGGGATTTGGGATTTGTCAGGTATGAAAGATGTCAGAACATACCTAAGTAACCATTTCTATCCAGACTGAAGCTGGAGAGTGGCATCAGTCTGTTTGTATGGCCCCAGGCAGAAACTCCTCAGTCTCTGGCAATTTTCCTGGCATCTGCAGGGTTTAACTATCACTCATCCTCAGAGTTCATGTCCCCTGGTTTTCACTGGAGTTACCCAGAGCTTCGGGCTCGGGATTTTTGGAGCATTTGAATATTAGGTCTCCCAGTGTTTTACAGTAAGCTATTGCCCCTTTTTATTCCCCATTTCTTATGTGAGATGTGTATGTTAGGAAGATGTTTTGCAGTGAGGTTTAGCTCTTGGGCTTGCACACAGCTGTTGGGTTTGTGACAGCCCCTGTTTGTGCTGCAGGTTCGCTGTGGGCTCATTGTGGTTGCCTACAAGGACGGCTCTCCGGCACATCCGCATTTCATGGATCCTGACCTGTGCTCTCAGTACTGGAATAAGTGGCTCTTGCGCCTGGAGGAGTACAAGGACAAAAACTGACCCAGACTAAGCACAAGCAAGTGGCCAGAGACAAAGGAAGAACCTTTTGTTTAAATGTACCACTTTCATGTTCTTATTTGAGTGACTTGGGCTAATTTTTTACTAGCAGGGCTCCCCTCTCTCCCCTTCCAAAAAGGCAAGTAACTTTCAAATGGGGAATATCTATTTCCTTATATTGTAGGTGACCTCAGTGGTCCAGGCAGAAAAAACCCCAACTTATTTGGCTTCTCTTTTTTATCCCACACAGTTTATACAGCCTGGGGTTGATAGAAGTTTATACTATCAAGTAAAACTGCTTGATCATCTTTCTTTTGTGATTTTTGAGAAAAAAAAAAAAGTTGCAGAACTACATCTTTAAAAATTAAGTTGGTGAACTAAAGCAAAACAGTATCTGTGATGTATGAGCTGAGAGAAATGCAAATGATTAAGAAGTGGATATAGCAGACTGGGTTTCAGTCAGTTCTTGCTCATGCCATCATCAGGCTTGTTCTTATTTGTGGTTTTTCTTACAGCTACAAAACCTGGGCTGAGAGTTACAATGAAAGTCCTCATTAGTTCTTATTTAGAATAGTACAGCAAAGTGGCCACTTAGCAGAAGTGGCTCAGCAAGAGAGGAGCAGAACTGGAGCCAATTGGAGCCAACTCCCAGGAATTTCCAGTGAGCGTTGAGAAGTGGGAATGTTGGCTGCTGCAAGTGGCTCCTCCTGCAGGTTTTTTAACACCCAGCCCCCATGGGATGTGGGATGGGCTGTGTGCTGCCACTGCCTTGGGCTCTCCTGACTCTGCTGTGGGCCTGAGCCAACAAGGAGCCCACCACAGTGCCATGTGAGTGAGTTTCTGTATCAAAGCAGGCCTGTGGCTGTGAAGCAGAGCCTTCTGAGGGGTGAAGAGCTGCTGGTTGGGTTTTGGGGGCTGTTTTTTATGGGTTTCTCTTTGTTTTTTGTTGTTTTGGGGTTTTTTTCCAAATAAGTTTGTGAATAAATGTTTTGAAACGTAATTTTTACTTTTGAAGCATATAAAATCAAGTCTGTAAAGCAGAGAATAAGCCTTGATCATGTTAGGCAGTATTGTTCTGGAAAGTTTTTTTCCTCATTCTCTTTGTCTTCTGTGAATTGTATGTGTGAGTTTTCACAATAACACTGCAGCTTACAAATAAAATTATGAAAAAAATTCAAGAAAATTAGCCAGAACCCCATGCCTGAGGAAGGCTGCCAGCAAAGCCAGTTTATAAACCTAAGTCCCAGCTGAGTCTGTACCTCAGAGAGCCAGGAGGAGGCAGACAGCCTCCACAAGACAGCAGTGGTGGGAGTCACTGGTGTCTGGCACTTCAGAAAGCCTGGCTGCTGCCTTGGGCATCCCTGGCTGAGCTGTGGAGCGCTGCTGGAGCAGCACAAGCTGGTTTGTCCCGTAACAGCACTGGCAGGTGCCTGTCCCCAGTGTCACACTAACCCAAACACACTTTGTCACCAGTTTCAATTAAGTTGCCAGACTGTTAAGTGATGCACCCAGGGCACTGCTACAGGCACTGTCTGTCCTCTGCAGAAAAACTTGCTGGGCAGCCAGGGCAGTTACTTCAGCTCTGGCATCCAGCTTCCCAGAGCTTTGCTCTCCGTCCAGGATGGCTTTTTCCCTGTGGCCTGCTACCTGCTCCCTTTCTCTTTTGTTGTGAATCCTTTCTGTGCCCAGCTCACTGTGCCTGTGGTTCTGTCAGCAGGGATGTGCTGTGGCAGTGACACTGGAGGGAGAGCAAAAGCAACACGTGGAGCAGGAGGGATTAAAAACCAACCCATGCACGCAGGTACACCCACAAAACCTGTCTCTGGCTGGAGAGGAAGGGCTTCAGCCCCAGCTCTGCTGTGCCAGGGGAAGGGCTGAGGTTTCAGCAGAGCTGAGGTTTCAGCAGAGCTGAGCACACAAATCCCATGCAGTCAGGTGAACATTAATCCCATTGCAGAGTGAGCAACCTTCCCTTAACACTGCCCTGTTATAAGACCTGGGGGTCAGTGTACAAGCTTTAGCTTTCTGCAAAGTCAGGATCTTCTCATTTACCTCAGATGCTTTTTTTTTTCCCCAGCAACTTCCCATTTATTAAAGTATTCTACAAACTTTCCTGCTAGGTAGGATAAGTTTGTTCTTAACACAGTAGCATCGCTTTATTATCCTCATTTTCAAGGTCTCAAGCACCAACAGTTGTGCTGAATAAAGCATTAACATACTTAGGAATGCTTTAAGACCCTTAGAATCTTTTCCCCACAAAAAAAACCCAAGCAGGTGCCTGTACAAAACTGAAGCAAGTTGAAAAGATTTTTTTACAATTCTTGCAAAGTTGCTCAAAATGTCTCATTTTAGCAGCAATGACTGTGAAAATCCTGGCTAAGCCTGACTTGGTGTTTTGGGTGGGAGGAGCCTTCTACACTTAGCGTGGTCACAGAGGAGCAGCCAGATTGGTGCCTGCAGTTTTGCACTGATCTCCTGAAGCAGACACAGGCTCAGTCCCTCTTTCCACTGCATTGTTGTATTAATGAACAGGCACTTGAATATCAAAGACAAAAAAAAAAATCCCAAACACACACACCATAAAATATGCACAAAATTGCATTTCATCATGACAGAAAATAATTTCAAGTCATTACAGTGCTTTCTTTGGGTTTCTGGGTTGCTATGGGCTATGATAAAATGATGTGGTAATAATCCTCCAAGTGAGCACGGCAAGTCCAGGAACATCAGAGCTAAGATTTCACTTTTATATCAACATGATAAAAGTAAATTCATGGCTTCAAGTACTTAAGACACAACCAAAGTCTACCCTAGAATAATGCCATTTGCTAGTACAGAAACTTTGAGAAGAAAACCTTCTGCATCCTTTGGTAAGAGTTTCAACTCACCTCGGATCACACTTCCATGAATTGTTAGCAGACTGCAGAGGGGGCAGAGCTGAGGGTATTGGCACTTTGTAACTCACTGGATGATAAAATGCACTCCTGTTCTTAAGGCACTTCAATTAATGTTGCATAGAGCCGTGTACCAGTAGCGCTCTTACCCAACACCTTTCACCCAAACCTCTCATAGGTAAGTTGCATGGGAGGTAGCAGTTATTAACTTTACAAAACACAAATACACCTGGGGAAAGGTGAACTCCTTTGTCAGGGGTGTTCAGACCTGTGGCAGAGCTGAAACAGAAAACAGGCTGCCCAAATGTCAGTTCAGTAAATACTCCATCCGAGAGGTGACAGCCTTTGCAAGCATTCCGTTTTTATTGGCCAGATTAAAAAAAAAAAAAAAAAAAAAAGTCTGATGTTTCCATCACAAATGGGAAGATTTCTGTCAAGCTGAGGTTTTACCAACCTCAAGAGAGTCCAGTTAACAAAAGCATCCCTTTAATTTCAAAGGCGTTTCTTTCAAAATTGTTCTTAAAAAAATAAGATACGTAGTCCTACATGTAAACTTCATTCCCGCCACTCGAGCGCCGCCCGTGTCACTCGTCCTTGCCGTCCTCTTTGGAGTTCCTCTGCAGGACGGGGCTGAGTTTGGTTTGCAGAACAGCTGCGAGTTTTTTGGAGGTTTTCTTCAGGAAGGCGCTGCCGGGGTGCACGCCGCTGACGTGCAGGTACAGGTCCTCCTGCGTGGGGCCCGTGTAGCCGCAGTCCTCGCACACGTACAGCTTGTCCCTCCTCTGCTTGTAGGCGTACTGCTGCTGCACGCCGTGGATCTTCTTCAGGTGCGACTCCAGCGAGCAGCGCTGCGTGAAGGCCTTGTTGCACACCTCGCACTTGTAGGGGCGAATGCCTGCAGCGGGGAAAGGCAGCGGTTACTGGGGCACTGGCATTCTCTCAAATATCCCTTCGCTCGGGATTTTTCTCCTAGGGAGCTAAGAAGCCTCAGAGAAAAAGGAAAACAAATATTATTTCGTTTGCTTTTCTTGTGTTGCGCTCGCATCTGGAATGTGGTTGGAGATTGTTTACCCACAGGTGATTTTTCGTTGGGTTCTGGTGTGAGTTGTTTTCACTCACTGGCCAATCAGGGCCAAGCTGTGCCGAGACTCTGGAAAGAGTCACGAGTTTTCATTATTATCTTTTAAACATTCAGTAAGTATCCTTTCTGTATTCTTTAGTATAGTTTAGTATAGTATTCTTTAATATAATATAGTATCATAAAGTAATAAATTAGCCTTTTGAGAGCATGGAGTCAGATGCATCATTCCTCCCTGCCGTGAGGGTCCCTGCAAATACAATAGGTTACCTGTTGTGTCACCTGGTGTGTCACCTGTGTCTTGTTTCCTACAGCCAGCCAAGAGCAAGGCTCTGCCACATCAGCTGCTGAGATGGTATCCAGCAGCCCAAGGAGCTGCCTCTCTAAACAAAACATCCTCCTTTCAGGCTATGGGTTTATATATTTAGGCACTAGGAATGTCATCCTCAGCAGATGCTGAGGATAACAGATGCCCATCAGTGGTTTGGTCCTAAGGCAGCCATTAACAACTCCTGCAAAACTTATTTTAGACCCCTGACAATTTGAAATCCTCTGATTAGGTAAAACTATCAATTTCAGCTTTTATAATGAATGAAAACTTCTGTCTTGGTAAGATTTCAATTTTCCTCTTTTGGTTTAACGAGGCTTCAGTGAACAGCAGTGAATGTCCAGCACTCCCAAGTGCTTTCATACCATACAGTTTTGAGGACTGAGACTACAAATTCTAGAGAAGGGCAGGAAGATGAAAGAAATAACTCTGTGTGTTTCCAGAGGAGGGAGAAGAAACTGGCTTGTGACTTGAAAGCCCAGACAACCAACAGCACAAAAATCAATTTTACCACCAATGAACACTGATTTAACAACCACTCCCCCAGTGCTTAAAGAGCTGAGGATTTAGCAACACTTGGAAGAACCTAAACCAGCAGGAATTCTGCTTACTAGACTAGATCAGTCAGTTTCCAAGCAAAGACCACCCTTAAAACTGATAGAAGGTATCACCTAAACCCCTCTTTTCCCCAGGGAAGGTGGAATGCCAGGGTCTGGAAGATCCTGGGATGAGCCAGGCAGAAATGGGTAAACCAGATTGGTCTGCTCAGACAGTTGTAATTTTGTGATTGCATTAAGTTACCAGTCAGGACCTGATCTACCTACCAGAAATCCAAGCTAATCAGAAGTTCCAATAAGCAGCATCTCAACTGCATTTTTGTTTAGTTAAAAGAGGTTATCCCAGTGCACCAGATTAAACTATCAAGACAAAAGTTTCCTAATGCCTGCTGCTGTGAAATTGCTTCATTTCCATTAAACTGCAGTTGGAGAGAAAGCCTAAACCTTCATTAGAATTCACACACAAAAAGCAGTTGCATGCTCATTTGAAGGCAATTTAAACCCCCACCATCCTTGGTGCCTGCTCCAGCACTCCACAGACAGGAGCATAAGCACAGAAAGGGCAGTGCCAGGATGGCACAGCCCATTAGGGCTGCGGGAACCTCTTCATCACCTAGGAATCATTTAAAATAATTTAGGAATCATTTTAAATCATTCTGACCAGAGACCCTCTTGGATTTATTTTCTGGCTCTCTGATGAGGAGACAGCTTGAAAAATCACTTCTTTTGGAAGCACTGACTCCACACTCCAGCCATACCCCAGTGGCAGCTCTCCTTCCCACATGAAAGCTTTGCAAACAAACCCAAACAGCCCAAAACATTGGCTCCAGGCAGTGCCTTCCCATCCAAACAGGTGTCATTGCTTCTGGGGCTCCACCACTAAGAAACAGCTGCTGCCTACCAACGTCCTTGTGTCACTTCTAGCAGTTCACCTGGTTAATGGGGCTCTGCAGAGCAAGCCCAAATAATCTCCAGCTCCCATTGAGTGACCACACATCTGGAAAGATGGGATGTGCCTGTGGGATGTGGTGGATGCACCTTCTGGATGCCCAACAGTGCAAAGTCAAAGCCTGCTGAGCACAGCCAGCCTGGCCCACCAGGAAGCATTGCCCTTGGAGATGATGGGGTTGATGTTTATTTAAGCCACTGCTTCCACCAAGGAAAAAAAAAAGCCAATCAAACTGGCAGCCTGCTCCCTGCTCCAGGCTGGGGTAAGAACTTCTGGGAAAAGTGAGCTGGATTTGAGGCAACAGGAACACAACCACTGTGATTTGGGATGGACTCAGGAACTGACCCCACATCAGAGTGGCCACGGACAGCACATCCCGCAGCCTGGGGGAGGCACAGCATGAACCACGCTCTGCTTCCTCCAGACATTTCCAAAATCAAACCAGAATCCCATCCTACACAGCAGTCAGCTGGGAAGGCTCTCAACAGCAAAATCCCCAGGAAACTGCTGCTCGTTGCCTCTAGAGGGCAAAGCGTTTTCATGGAGCTCCTGCCTCCACTCCCCGCTGCACAGGATAACTGCAGGGATTCACTGTCCTGGCGTGGTTATCCCAGGCAGGTTATCCGGGGGTCCCCACTATTTCTGGCAAATGTTGTTAACCAGGGCTTCGTGTTATGATCTTACCAGCTTACCCTCACCCTCTCCTTGTCCTTGTTCCATCCCACCCCTTCTCCCTGGAGGTCCCCAGGGAACACATTCTCACCTGTATGGGTCCGGACATGCCTCTTCAGATCAAAGGTGTCGTTGAAGCCTTTTCCACAGAAGGTGCACAAGTGTCTCTTCACCTGGCTGTGGCACTTGATGTGGCGGTTGAGCATCCTCTGCAGGCGGAAGCCTTTGCCACACAGCTCGCAGCTATGCAGGGCAGCGTCGTTGCAGGTGCCAGTGGTGAACTGGGGAGTGGGAGAGGACTGCGTGAGCACTGGGATGAACCAACAGAAGGAATAAAGCAAACCAAGCAGGGCTTATTGTGGCATTAAAAATTTAAAAAAAAAAAAAAATTAAAAAAAAAAGGGGGGGGGGAGATATTAGAAATGAAAAATGAAAGCATCCAAGACTTTTCTGCTGGGTGAAACCTCCACGCTTTCCTTGTAATCATGTGCACAGTTTGGGACTGAGGTATCTCTGGCCAGCTTAGATTCAGGGGTTAAAACAAATTCTGTGTAGTGGTTTCCTTCCAGGGGTAGCAACCCGTATCCAGCTACATCCCCGAACACAAGGGCTTAGGCTGTGAGCACCTTGCTTGCTCCTGCAATCAGCTGATACCCTGGATGGAGAAGGGAAATCCTCTCTAGTGCCAGAGAATTGTTTTATGCGCTGCCTTCACTAGTCACGCCTCCAACTGCTCCGGGTCCCTGAAAAACCAGCCAGCAGTGATAAAAAAGGTGGTTTTGGAGAGATAAACCCAAGGCACGTTGTGCTGACTCAGCAGAGACTGAAACAATGGCCCTAATCTTGCCCCGTTGGTGTCCCAGTCTCGTTAATTAACACCCTAATTAACCCCCTAAAGTGACATTAGGGGGTAATCTCATTCCCACTCCTAGCACCAAAAGTATTGTGCCAACACCATGACATAACACTACTAAAGAAGACACTGATGATTCAGCTCCTGGGAAGATCGTTCCTCAGAGGCAAGGCTTAATGTCTGGAAAATGTAAATACTGCACTGCTGGTTTAATTATTCCTGGTGGAACACACGGACATGCCCCCTGTTAGACGCCAGGGATGAGGGAAAGCCAGCAGGGCAGACAGGACCACGTGCACGCATCCATCGGCTGAAAAACCCAGCTCTGCTGAAAGGTTTTGCTGTGCCAGTCACAAACAGCCCAGGTTAAATTATACAAAGTCGGTTAAAGTCAAACAGCAGCAGGGCGAGCTTTTCACAAAGACAGGAATACGTCTGGGGTCTCTTTTTCCTGAAGAGCCAGTTATTTTTCCCTGTCCTCCTCCTCTGCTTACTACTGAAGCAACGCTACTCGAAATTGTGAAGAAAGATTAAAAAAACCCGGCAGCTGTGAAACCACGAGGTGTGAAACTGGAGGGGGAGCCATCTGGGAAGAATCTGTTGGGCAACAGGGCTGTGACTCCACCTCAAGCAGCTGCATATAATCGGGGTGAAACCTAATCATGAGACTTCAGAACACGGTGACTGAAAAGCTGTCAGCCCGGCACAGACAATGGTAATTTTTAGAGCTCCATCCAGCAAAGCAGCAGCCAAGGTTTAACGAGGTGTTAACTACGAGTGGTAAACACATCTCCTACTGCCTAGCCTGGGGTGGCCTGGCTCTACCTCTGCTGAGGGGACCCTGGATGTTCTGAGAGAGACGTGGCACTGTCCGGGAACTCGCTCGGTGTTGAAGTCTCAGGTACCACGAGGACCTGGGTCACCGTGAGCAATTTGCCTTCTCAGCCTTGGGAGGGAAATCACTGCTCTGCTGGCTCTGCCCAGGGAGCAGCCAGAGCTCCTGCCCTTGCAGCAGAGAGGCTCCTCAGCAAAGTCAGTGGACAGGTGATTGCTTCTTTTCACCCAAGCCCGCAGGTCCACCTCAAGGTGACAATGGTCTTTCACATCTATGGAGGAGAACCTTTAGCTGCTGTCTTGATAGGTCATGGTGGGAGGGGGCCAGCTTGAAGGGTCACCCAGCCCTTCTTGGTGAAGGCTTGAGTACAACCTAGAAGGCAGCTTTTAAGGAGGCCCCACGCTAAGGAACAAGATCCACCCACGCACCATGGGGCATGACTCCTAGCTGCCAGGGCTGGTCCTTCCTGGCTGGGTTCAGAGCTCCTGCGGGACCCGAGCCAAGCAGGTCAGGGGCAGCACATCCCAGGCAAGGATAAGAGAAGGCAAAGGGCACTGGAAGATTATAGCACATCGCTTATGAGGCTTTCCCTGCCACTGCCATCCTGCAGCCGGCTGCTCTCGCAGGCCTCCACCTCTGCTGTCACCACTAGCACAGAGAGCCCAAGGGACTGTTGTCACCCGCTGTCCACGGGCAGCAGCCAGGCCTTGACCTTGAACAGGGGTCACCCCATTGACAGAGAAGAGATGGTTGGGGTGCGGGTGGTTACCTTGATTTTGGACCTGACCACGGGCCGCTTGACGGCCAGGTCCAGCAGCATCCCCCCGCCCGTGCCCAGCTCGCCGGGGGCAGGCTGGGGCGTCGGGGGGTCGCTGGGTTCGGCGTCCCGGGTCCCGCTGCTGCCGCTGCTCTCCAGGCTGCAGCTGTCTTCGTAGCCCAGCAGCACGCAGCCGATCCCGCCTGCAACGGGGTGGGGATGCGATAAATCGCGGGGACCCCGGAGCCGCGGGCAGGGCAGGGCAGGGGGCGGCGGGCGGGAGCCGGCGGGCCCCGGTGTTTAACCTGCGGGCGGGCCGCTGGGGCGGGGGAGGATCCCCGGCTCACGCTGCAATCGGAAACTCAAACACGAACGGTCCCAAAGTTCAAACAAGCCAGCTCCGCCGCCTTCCCGTTATACCCCGGGCAAGGGCAGGAGGAGCGGGAGGAGGAGGAGAGGGGGAGGCCAGGAGTACATCACCCCCCCGCCACCCTGGGTCCTTCCTTCTCCTCCCCCAGCCACCTTTCTCATGCAAACGAGGTTTCCCACCTTCCCGGACACACACACACACACACATTCCCCCCCCGATCCGCTCCCCGCCCCGTCATTCCCGGGGGCTCCCCGGGTAGGAGACGCTGCCAGGCATGGGGGCGCACGGCCCGGCGGGGCTGGCACCCCTGCCGCTGCCCGGGCAGGGTTGTCCGTGTCCCCTCCACCGCGTCTGGCACAGCTCTCTCTGAGCCGCCGCCCGCCCCCTCGGGGCTCCCCCGGCCCCTCCCCAGGTCGCCCCTCCGCGGACCGCGGGGACCCCGCTCCCTCCGTCCCTGCCGGCGGCGCGGGGCCGTACCTGGGATGTAGGTGTCGGCTCTCTCCTCGTCGGGCAGCCCATCCCAGCTGCGCACCGCCGGCTGCGGGCTCCGGCGCTTCACCAGGAAGGCTCTGGGCATGGCGAGGGCAGGGGGCACGGCTGGGCACGGAGCGCAGCGGCCGCTTCAGCCCCGCCGCCCGCCCGCAGCCCGACGGGGCGCGGGCGCTGCGCTGCCGTCCGCGGGAGCGGGACCGCACGCACCGGGCAGAGCCGCTGAGGAGCGGGGAGGGGAAGGGGAGGGGAGGAGAGGGGAGAGGGTGGGGGGGGGGAGGAAAGTTTCATAAGGTGGAATAGAAAAATGCACCAGGAAACTTGGGAAGGAGCATGCGTGCTGCAAACATAACGGTGTCAACAAGTCTGCTTACCTGTCCGACCGGTTGGAGCAGCTGAGCTTTGTTCCAGCCCTTCCTAAGGCATGAATGTTTGCAAAAGAATTTAACGTCTGAAAATTAAAAAAAAAAAAAAAAAAAAAAATCACCAAACCACACAACCAAAAACCAAACCAATCCAAAAACCCAGCCGAGGAGGGAGCCCCGCCGCTGCCGCCTGCCCGCAGCCCTCCGGCAGAGCCCCCGCCGGGCCGGAGCCGCTGCCCCTCTCTCTGCCGCCGCACCGGGATGCCCTGCCGGGAATGGGGGCCGGGGTTACTCCCCGTTCGCGAGTGCGGGTCCCGCCGCCCACGGGGGACCGAGCAGAGACCCCCCCCGGGACTGCCTGTCGAGGGCAAGACTTGCCGAGGCGCTGGGAAAGAGGCCGAGCTGTCCTCAGGGCAGCAGCAGGAAGAAAAAGTTCTTATTACTTTTCTTAATGACTAGCTTTTCTTCTGTTCAGAAAGAAAAAAAAAAAGAAAAGAAAAAAGAAATTTATTCTTTTTCAGTCATTGATTTAAAATTCAAAATGTGTCACAGCCTTTTTTCTCTCCCCTCTTTTTTTTTTTTTTTTTTTTTGCCTCTTGTCGTCTCCCCCTCTTCCCAAAGTGGAAATGAAACAAAGACAAGAGGTTAGGGTATTGGGGAAGGAAGCAAAAGAAACAGAAGAAAACCCACAAGAAGTCTGCGAGCAGAGCAGAGCCGGCGCCTGGCGTGGCCTTGGGTGTTTAACAACAGTCAGGGATTCCTTCTCCCGTCTCCTGTTCAATCTGCTTTTTTATTCAAAGCAGTGGAAACGCACTTGGTGCCTCCGTCTCCAGGCTCATCCCTGCGGCAGAGCTGCCCCGGGCCGGGGCAGTTGCGGGAATGAGCACCGGGAGCTGTTTCCCCGCACGAAGGAAGAGCCTTCCAAGCGGAGTCACTCCTCCCTCGGGGAGCCGCTTTCCTCCGCAAGGCAGAGCTCATACCGGGGGAATTGATTGGAGTTTCATTGTCGGTTTCATGGAGACCAAGATTTAACGTCAGGGGCTGGACCTGGAGCCTCTGAAAGGAGCACGCCTTCAAAGATCAGGGCCAGATGAAAGAGCTCTGCTGGATGCAGATGTCCCCGTTAGTCCTGTGGAGCTCCAGGGGTAAAGCTCCAGCCCCACATCAGGTGATGCTCTGCCAGAGAGCTCCTCCAGCAGTCTGTGTTTCCACCAGGGTATCCCAGCACCTACTTGCTCCCCCTACTCCTGTGGGGAGTTTGCAGTTTCCACAGGTACCAGGTGGGAAGCCACCTCAGCATGGCTTTGAGCAATACCTCAGTGAGACCGCACATAAAACCTTCCTTTTCTCTCTTTCAGGCTATGTAATTTCTCTGTTATGTCTGAGATTTTGCTCCAGGACAAAATACAGCTATGTGGGGCTTAATTGATTTTTTTTTTTTCTTTTCAGTGCTTTCAACTTGAGGTTTCTTTTATTTTAAGGACTCCTTGTCTTTTAAGCCGAAAGAGGTAGCAAATGACATTAATCAGAGTGCTGCCAAGCCAAGAGCTTGCTGAGACGACTTCACTGTCATCTGGGCTTTCTCAAATCCTGCTTTGAGGTTCTCATTTAATGAGGTCCTGGAGCACACACTTCACTTCCACTGGGTGCTGTAAGTCAGACGTGCAGTTACAAGCATGGCTGAATCAGGAATAATAACAGTAACAACAACAAAAACAATAATAATAATAATAATAATAATAATAATAAATCAGCTCTGGAGCCTTGACACGAGTGGTCAGGGCTGAGGTGTGCCCAGCACCACAGGAGAGACAGAGTGGAGAGAAAGTCCTGCAGCCTCTGGCAAGGCAAGAGGAGCTGGGTGGAGAGGCAGCAGCTCCATGAAGGAGAGCATTCCAGTGGCAGTGGGCTGCCTACGTGCTGAGCCACCAGGTGGAAATGCAGACTGCTGATTATTGGTGTTGCTTGGCCAGAGCCCATCGGAAAACCATACTGCCTTTCCTACAAATACCATTCCCTGGTATTTTCTAACCTGGAGGAGCCTGAGGAGCGTGTTCACAGCATGACCCCACCAACAGCACGGCAGGGAGGCACATGCAGCACCATGAAATGGGATTTTTGGGGATCCTTGTCATCAGCAAGGCAGCCCACAGACAGATCACTGGGTGGCCATGTCCTTCTCCATGCTCCCACTGGAGCAATGCTGCATCTACAGCTTCAGCACTGTAATTAAACTCGATAAATAATGATGCTAACAAGGTAATGGCACAAACATTTCTGTAGGATCTTGTATAATTTTCAGCACTACTTGGGTGTGGGAGAAAATCTAGCACATTAAATTAATATTTCGGGTGTAAATCAAATTAAATGTACAAAATGCCCCGTAGGGTCAAAGCACAGTGGGATCCACCCTTGTGGATTTGACTACTAAAATGTGTTTCATTTCACTCAGATCACTTGGCAGTGAGGAGGGAGAGATGGGATCAAAGAAAGAACCAGCCCTGTGTCGCTGTCTCAACCACATCCCGCCCCTTGCCAAACTAACCCTCCGCGGGGTTGGATTGGTGAGAGGGGCAGGGGGACTCATTCCCCCATTCTGGAGGACCCCATGTCACTGCCAGCATCACCCTGTGGATGTGGCACCCAGGAGGGAGTGGGGACAGCGTGCCTGGGGGCAAGGACCTGGCTGTAGGGAGCCAGGGAAGGAGCTGGGCTTGAGAAGAGCCCAGGAAAGGAGGTGTAAGGCAGGCACTGCTCAGGGGACAACAGCTCAGTTTGATCTTTGAACAGGGAATATTTCAGCTGTGATCCCAGGGAGCCCTGTCCGTTCTTCTTCTTGCCTGGGCTACTTTTCACCATGATCAGCATGATGAGGCTGCAAAGGGACCTGGCTGGGCAGGGGTGAGGGTTTGACTGCACAGCCCGCCGGAGCTGGGCGTTGTTGAAAGGCACAGTCCCTCAGCAGTGCCAGGGCAATGCCTTCAGCATGGAATCCAGCAAAGGGACCTTCCTGCTCCACCCCCAGCAGCATCCTGTCCCCAACCTCACTTCTCTGGCATGGGAATGGAGGGAGTCCAGCAGGTCCACCTGTAGGGGCTGGGGGTGCTCTGCCCTGCAGTCACTCAGGACCCATTTCTGGCCATTTCTCATTATTTTGAGCCTAACCAGACTCAAAATACAGAGATGAGAACCTGGCTGGTACAGCAGCTCGGCCATTCAACCTTTGGTTTCTATCTCCCAGCAGAACTCAGGTGAGGAGGTTTATACAAGTTTACTGACCATACAGGAGAGGCCACAAATTCATACCCTTGGGAAAATGAACCTTCATCTTCAGGGTCCGTAGTGTTCTTGACACACCAGGGCTGGGACACCTGCGCTGCTGCAAGTCACCCAAAAACTCAGCTGACACCCCTTGGCTGGTGAGCCCTCACACTGCTCTCAAGACACATTTTGGGAGAGATGGGGAAGAGTCTGGGTGTCAAAGCACTGCCCAGAGCTCTGCAGGACACCCTGGTGTGACATCAGTTCCCTGAAATGCTGCGAGGCAGGATGGTGAGCACCAAGCCCAGTGCAGCACCCAGGAGTGGGCACTGCCAGCCCACCACAAGCCCTGGGGTCACAGAGAGAGCCTCACAGAACATTCAACCGAGGCAAGATTAGAGCAAGGGAGAGTATCTCCTGTGCAGCCTTTTCCAACCTCCTCCCTTCTTGGATTACCCAGTGGAGGTCAAGCATGCCATAGGGTCTCTCAGGCAGGACTGTGAGCACCTCTGAGGACTGTGTCTTGAAAGCGCACAGAAAAGCACAAAACCCTCTCCTCGGACACGTGCTCCTTCCAGCCCAGGCTTTCCTTCCACCTGGCTGTCTCTGTGCCGCAGCTCAGCATCTGTCAGCGAAGAGCCGAGGCGCTGCCGGGGATGCTCGGCTCCTGCCCGCCCGCGGCAGCGGGGCTGACTCAGCCGGGTTTCGGCAGCCGCCCGCCCGCACCGCGCCTCGCCTCGCCCGAGGGGCTGCTCCTGTCTCCGAGGGCAGCTTCCCAGGCAAAGCACGGCGTTTGGGTGGACACCGGCCCGCGGAGGGCAGGGGGATGTGAGCGCTGCTGGGGCGGCACGGGCTGGCACAGCAAAGCTACTGCCGCCGTCACCCTCTGCGCTGCCAGCTCCGGGGCCCGGCCACTGGAAAGCCCGGCTTCCAAGCCAGGTTTTGGCAGCTCTCCTGCTTAGATGAGGAAACGCTTCACCGCAGCGGCAGGAGCCAGAGTGGCTCCGCGCCAGCATTATCTTGGAAGGAGGGAGCAGCGGCTCTGCAGGCTGCCCCAGTTTGGAGGGCGATCTGCTTTCCTTAACTGAGCAGGGAGGGATGCAGAAGGTGCCAGCTGGGGGGAGATGCCTCCCCAGGCTGCGGCAGAACCTGCCCTGCCTGTGCTTCCCTGCCGCGTTTCAAAGCACCCCACCAGGCTGACTCACCGGGCTCCTGTCTCCCTGCCTCCCACGGCCCCTGCCACTCCCGGCGTCTCCCTGTCTTTCTCGACCTATGGCTCCACTTCCTTCCCACTCTCCCCAGCGGCTCAGCACTGTCTCTCTGGCCGCCCATTCACTGTGGCTCTGCTTCCTCGGGGCACCCAGCATCACCACAGGTTCCTACTGAACCTACAGGTCCCACTGCCTGTGGAAAAGGCCCTCCTGTGAGGTCTGTGGTGGGTGTTGGACTGCAGCATCCCCTG